TAGCTTGTGCTTTAGGACTGGCTAAACCAGAACACCCACAAGTGTCCTTTTCCCCCAGGTGCAAAAGCCTGTATCAGTGCATGCCATTTCAGTTAAGAACTCTATTTCTTTCCTGGTTCCTCTAGAGTACTTAAAGATCTTGTATAGAAAAATGTTTGACTCTTGTCTAAAATCCATTGCATTTGTGGGTATAAAAAAAGAATACAGTTCCTTGGAAACATTATTAAAATGCAGAGGGAACTCTGCAAGATTACCAGGCATGGATGGATTCGCAAAGATTTATGGGCCTAAAAAAAGCCTTGGTGTGGTGTAGGCAGAATTTAAGTTCTGCTGTTATTTACTGTGCTTCTAAAATAATGTAATAAATAAATGGTTGTTCCATTTCAAGGCCTACAGAGGGAGTCTTCCCTTTTATGCTGTTTCCTCTTTTCCTGTACTTATAGGTCTCTATAGTGAATCCTTTCCCCATCATGTTTAGTCAGCATGGCTATTCTGAATGTTATAGTTCAATGAATCTGGAATCTGAAGATTACATTAAGGGTTTAAAAGAAGGAAAGACTCTTACATCGCTTTTCCACCACATAAAAGCTGTTTCTACTTTTAAATGTCTAAACCAGGGCACAGTGTATAAGAAAAAATACACACTGTAATTTATTCATTGATACATGAATTTGCTTAACTAGACTAGTCCAGTTTTCATGTATGAGCAATTAGGGTGCAATTGGGATAGGTGTCATACAGAATCCCAAATTGCTGTGTACAAAATATATTTCTCCAGGAAAGACTGGGAATAAATGGTTAAAAATGAATACAGTAATCTGCTTTCCTCTGATGGAAGCATGGGATTCAGGTAGTCTTAATTAAAACAAATAATATGTTTTTCTGGTGCTCACTGCTAAAAAGAGGGGAAAAAATACATATACACATGAGGGAGAAGCATCTTACAGGTAGTCCTCGATTTTCGACAGTAATTGGGATCCGAATTTCCATCGCTAAGTGATGCAGTTGTAAAGCGCAACATCACATGTCCGCATTGCTTTGTGACGGCAGTCCTGGCACTCCCCATTGCCATCGTTAACCAAAGCCACACCTGGATCGACTGTCTCCTCTTCAACTCCCCCCTGACTGTCTCCCCACTATCCCTGTCCTTTTGGCTGCACTGTGCTCCACTTGTCCTGCCACCCTGCCAGCCCTGCTGGCCTGCCGGCCTTTCCACTCTACTCTGTCAGTGTCACCCTACGTTTGCTGACCCTGCTGCCTCCAGCTGACCTTCACTGCTGCTGATGAGGCACACCCATGCGAGGCAGCTGCTGGCCGCGCCAGGCCTTCTTCCCAAGGCTGCTTGTGCTGTTCTTGCAATGCTTCAGAAGACTTCTGAGGCCTTCTAAAACCTCGTGAGAAAGCCGTGCCACCCCATTCTCCAAATCACGCAGGCCGTTCTCGCGAGTACAATGTGGCAGGGCCAGCAAGCATAGGGCAGCGGGGCTGGCAGGCTGGCAGGGCGAGTGGAGTGCAGGGTGTCAGGGGTGGCTGGGGCTTTGTGCTGTGGCACTGGGGTGGCTGGTGGTGGCATGGGGCTTGAGGCAGCACTCCTCAATAGTGGTGGTACTGGGGTGAAGTAGAGGCCCAGGGGCAGTGGCAGGCAGCTGAGACTGCTGAAGACTCTGGCCCTCTACTTCAACTCCAGTGCTGCTGCTGCTGAGGAGTGCTGCTGTGCAGGGTGGTCAAAAGGGCAGAGATGGGGGGGAGTTGAAATGCCCCTGTGGTCGTAAGTGCAGGCTGGCAGCCAAGTGCCTGAATTTTGATGATATGATGATGGGGTACTATAATGGCCATAACTATGGGGACCAGGTGTAAATACCATTTGTTCAGCACCACTGTAACCTCAAATTGTCACTGAATGAATGGTCATAACTTGAGGACTGCCTGTAGTTGTAGCTTTCCTTGAAGAAAAACTGCTCAAATCTGCTAGAAAACCTGGAAGGTTAATGGAGACTAATTGGTTTAGATAAGATTGTTGACAACATTTTGTGAAGCAAGGAGCTCAGTGGTGGTCTGTTTCAGTAAAAGAGGCCTGGCTTGTTTCTTGGGGAACAAGGAAACCCCCTGCACCTGTACAGCAGCTGGGTTGGTTGATGATCTGGATTCCATGCTGGCTGTAGCTGTAATTGAGGGTTGACAAAGGGTTTTTGCTCTGTTCTTTCTGCTTCATACAGGAGCCTGTTCATTGCTTTGTTGCAGGAGTCCTCAAATGTTTTTGTTATAGGGGGTCCCCAGGGTTATCTGTAAAAAAGACTATGATTGGGAGTGGGAGCTGATGAGAGAGAAGGGACAAGAAGAAGCTGATAGCAGAGATACACAGAGTTTCTGTCCAGATTATAGTGCAGAAGGAAAAGTGAGGGGCCAAGGGCAGTGACTTGGGACTTTTTCCATGCCATGAGGGTAGAGAGCTGATCACCTCCCCCTCCTGATAAAAACAGCCTGGGAGCAGCATGTGTAGAATTGAAAAAAGGTTACCAAAGATGACATGATTCAGGGGAGAAGGAAAGGAGGATCTCCCTCCTGTGATGGAAAACATCCAGAAGTGGCTTTGAAGAAAATTAAGAATGGTTAATAATCATAATAAGAGAAATGGAATAGAGAGGAAGGGCAGAAGAGAGGGAAGCTGTTATAAGAGGAAGTGAATGTAAAAACTGCTGGAAGGAGAATGAAAAGAGAAGAAATGACAGGCTATGACTAAGAATACTTTTGAGTGATGTGAAAGCAGAGGGGGGAAAATTAAGTCTTCCACACTTAGAGTTTCTGGATCAGCAAATTCTGCTAGAAATGTCAAGGTTGAATTATGATAACTGCAGCCATTGCCATCATGTTAACTTGTGAGAAGGTGGAATTGCTGAACTTCCTGTGTCAGGGAAATCACAGTGTTAAAGAATATATCAATTTCCAAGAAGAGATTAGCTATCACTAGGAAATTATCAGTAGCCACCAGCTGATTATGTCAACTCTGCTTCTGCCATTGTGTGACCTGCACTACCATTTGTGATGGATAGGGTTCAGTAATTATCAGCTCTCGTGGGAAATGTGGGTTAAGAGTAGAAAATCAGAGCACTTCAAATTCATGTTGGAAATGTGAACAAGAAGAAGGGACGTTTTATCATGCTTGGTGGACATGTAAAAAAGCTAGAAAATTTTGGAATCAAATACATACACTGATTCAGAGGATTTTAAAGATTAATATACAATTGAGATCAGAGGTCTTTCTTTTGGGACTGACTGACAGTTGGAAAAAAGTCACAGAACTTTGTTTTTGTATATGATGAGTGCAGTGAGATTATTGTATGCACAAAGATGGAAAGATTCAGCAGTACAGCTAGTCCTTGACTTACAACCACAATTGGCATCAGAATTTCCATTGCTAAGCAATGCAGTCATAAAGTGAGATGTCATGGGACTGCATTGCTTAGTGACAGCAATCCCGACAATCCCCATTGCTGTCATTAAGTGAATTCCACCAGTGGTTAGCCAAGGACCCACCCCAATCCAAGCCATTCCAGGCTTGGTCCCTCCCAGCCTTGAGCCTCAGTAAAGTAAGGAACTGCCTCCAACTCCCCCCCACCTACCCCCCCCCCCCCCACACCTCC